GGAAATTTATAAAATTTATAATCTGCTGCTAAGAACATAAAAATAAGAGAAAAAAATCTTAACAAAACTATCAAAATAGTGATTGGTCATGTGTGTGTGTATGTATGCATTTCAATCAGCACTGGGGACTGAACTTTGGGTGCTCCACCACCGAGTCCACATCTCCACATCCCCAGCCCTTTTCATTCTTGAGACAGAATCTCACCAAGTTGTCCAGTCTGGCCTCAAACATGAGATTCTGCTGCCTCAACATCTTAAGTAGATGGGATTACACATGTACTGCTGCAACCAGTTAATGTTCAGTAATTTTTATGTAATTTCTTCCTACTTGTAATTACTTTATTCATCCAACCAACAAATACTTATTAAGGAGAGCATAGTATGTGAAGGTACTATAATAAGTACTAGAGAAATAAAAATGATCAAAGCCAGACATAATTCCTACCATAAGGAGTTTAGTCTTCTAAAGAAAAAGATAAATAATTTAGTAAGAATGTAGTTTAAAATACAGAGACAAAAATATTATGAAAGGAAAGAACATGTGTCCCAGAAGGATATAAAGCAAATAAACTTAATCGAGGTAGGAGGAACCAAAAATCCCTTCCCTGAAAAATATGGTGTTGGAGCAGAGATATGAAGGATAAACTCAGGTTTGTAAAAAACAACAAAATAAAGACAAAACTAAGGGTATGAATGTAGAGGACAGTGTAGTTCCAGGTAGAAAGAACATGAATTATGCTATTCTACAGGGGCTGTGTTGAAAGAAAGAAGAGAAAAAAATTTTTTTTTTTGAGACAGGGTCTTGGTCTATTGCCCAAGCTGGTCTTGCACTCCTGGACTCTAGAGAGACTCCCAAGCCAGATGCCCAAGTAGCTGTGACTCTAGGCCTACAACATCCTGCCTGGCTTAAAAAGAACATTTTAAAAAGCTGATGTGACTAAAGTACAGATACGAGATCAAGAATATCTAAAGTTCAGGGGATGAGAATGTGGCTCAAGTGATAGCGCGCTTGCCTGGCATGCATGAGGTACTGTGTTCTATTATCAGCACCACATAAAAATAAAATATTCTTTTAAAAAAATCTAAGGTTTAATAGTAAAGCAAGGAAGATGTTACCTTTGGAGGAAACAAGATAAAGGGTATAAAGGATTCTATTTCTTATAATTTCATGTGAATCTATCATTATTAACAAAATTACATTAATAACCAAATTAAAAAAGGGGAGGGTGGGGAAAAGGAAGAGAGGGAGGGGCGGAAAGGGAGATACAGAAAGAGGATTTTTAATTAAGTACACTGATCTCTTGGAGCAATGTAAACCCATTAAAATTCTTCAAGATGAGGAAGTGACATATACAAATTTGCATTTTTAAATAATCATTCTAGTTATAATGTGGATCAAAGACAAGCCAAACTGGTTGTGAGGAAACAGATCACTAGACTACTGAAGGTGCCTGATGATGTGGTTTGATATAAAACAGTAGCAGTAAAGATAAAAAGAAATATACAAATTAAAGTTATGAGTTCATATTCTTCACTGTCATGCCAAATATTCCTAGGAAGAAATAGTTAAGTTACAAAGCATTTCAAGGAAACACAAAGTATGTTTTTTCTAACCTTATTTTATTATTTATTTATTTTTTAATGTTTTCTTTTTCTTAGTTGTAGATGTACACAATACCTTTATTTTATTTATTTATTTTGACGTGGTGCTGAGAATCAAACCCAGGGTCTCGCATGTGCTAGGCGAGCGCTCTACCACTGAGCCACAACCCCAGCCCCTAACCTTATTTTACTGAATATTTTTTCAAAGGTTAATAAAATATCCTTAAGGAATGATAGATCTGGAGGAAGTATGAGGCAATTCATTCATTGGTTCAAATGAAACTATTTTATAACACACATTTTTATAACTTTTAAGAAATAATAAAACCCAGGAGTATTAGCAGATGTATATCAACTTACCATTTTTCCAATCATCATTACATAAGGTCCTGCCTGTTGATTTACAGCGAGAAAATCTAGCAAACGCACATACCAAAATATTATATTAAGACAGTATATTAATCTTCCAGCCACAAAAACATGATTATCATATGCATTCTCAAAGTTCCATTTGGCTCCAAATCTTAGTCCAAATCCAATGAAGAAAGAAATTATGGCAATTGAATCACTGATATTGAAATAATCACTAAACCACACTTTAATCTTCTGGCTTATTTTCCCAGCTTCAGACATAAAGATCTAAAGGTTCAACAAGAACAAAACAGTTTAATGAATTTCTTCATATTCAAACATATACAGCACTGAATTATAACACCACAAAGGAATTTTAGTCATATTTTAATGTTTCAAAGTGCTTTTAATCTGTTATCTTGGCATTTAATAATGTACTTAATTACCAAAATATAAGCTGGTAAGAGAAAATATGTCTTATAAATAAATGACCTGCTCAACCAAGGTCATCCAATTAAGAGGCTAAAAATCTTAAATTATAACAAAGTTCTCTAGACCTGGATGGAATGTGCAATGTTTTGGAAAAGTTGTTTTATATCATATTAAAGTCCTACTTGGGATATACTGGTAGTATCTTCCAAAGATGCCTTATTCATAGAAATTAAATAATTCAATGGTTTAAGTAGCTGTATTTATCTAAATTATCTACAACATACTGCTTCTCTTGAATATAATGAACATTAGAATTAAAAAAATTTTTGAGAGGAATGGTATTACATTCACAACTTCAAAATGAAGTGAATTCTAAATACTGAAAAGTCTCTTGTTCATCTCTCTTAGTCGATTAATTACTGTAGTCACTGGAGGCAACCAGAATTATTGTCATCTCATGAATCCTTGTAGACCTCTTTAACAAATATTTTTTTTTATCATTCAACAACTTAATTTCTTCAAACACACTGAAAAGATTTTTATAAACATATGAGCCACAGCATTTAAAAATGCATGTTATTTAATAAGATAAATTTCTATATTTAAATGGGAAGTACTATACCTTCTTATTACTTTTGCAATTTCATGTGTTCTCTAAATGTATAACAGAGTCATGAAATAATTCAAAAGTACTGATGCAAGTGTTATAAAACATTTATGTAGCTTTGAGTTTAAACAGAAAGTGTACAAATTTATTTAAGGAAAAAACATTTTTTCAAAATCAGGATGTTAGAAAATTATAATTTAACCTAGACAGGTTTAATTTAACTGACAGCTGGATATAAATCTAAATAATGATTTGGTGGGAAATACATATACTTTAGAGGGTAAATAAGAAAACAGCAAAATGAAAATCTATTTATAATTTACCTACTTAATTGGATATATAAATATATGTGATACCTTTTGAGAGCAATAGCATAAATATAAATATTGAGGAAAAAAACAAAAAAATCTATGCTAAGTTTCAGAGACATATCATTGTATTTGTAATGTGACAAAGTGAACAGCATATTCACTGATTTCTATTTTTTTTTTGCCATTATTTTCAGAACAGTAAAAATAAACATGTTCTATACTTCTATAATGTTATCTCCCACTGAATTAACACACACATAACACATGCACATCTCAAACAAAACAAAAAATCTTCCATGCACTTAGTAAGCTATCAGTAGGAAAAACTAAAGACATACCTCACGGACTTTCTCAATGGCATAGGTAAAAATATAAGCAATAACAATCCATTCTTGAACTGAAGGTAACCGTTCCATTTGTACAAGAACTACAAATGTATAAAGCATCAGAAATCCTAAGTATGCCAACTAATAAAAAAGAAACAAAAGTTATACGAATAAAATTGATTACAAAATAAAACATTATGGACAGTTTCATGTATATAAAAATAATTATTTGAGCTAAGGCAGCCTAGGGAAATAAAATGCAATACAAAAAAAAAAAAGGAGAAATTTATTTGGTCACCTAAATTCTCTGTTTTTAAGTAGCCATTCACATGAATACAAATGTTAAAAAACTTACATTCTGGGGAAAGAATTCAGGGATTAGATAAATGAGATTTGTATTACCAGTGTCTAGGAGGGAAGAACAAAACATTTCCACATTGAGAAGGAAATATAGTAAATTAGTCTCGAGTTAGAAGGTATGGGTGTCAATAAAAAAAGCAATGGTTGAAAGTACAAGTTCTCAAATATTCATCTTAGCACAAAGGCATTTGTAGACTTTGGCAAGTACCTGATAATTGATGAAAAGAACAAAATTAAAACAAAATTAAAAGTTTTTCTAGGAAGGAGAGTGTAAACTTATTTATTCAGACTCAAGACGCTGGTTAAAAGCAGGGGCTGGGGCTGGGGTAGCAGCTCAGTGGTAGAGTGCTTGACTAGCATGTGTGAGGCAACAGTACAATTCTCAGCACCATATATAAATAAATAAAATAAAGGTCCATAATTTAAAAAAAAATTAAAAAAAAAAAGAACTTTTTTTTTTTTAAAGTAGGGGCTAATTTCATGTGTTTCTTTAGGTGTGCCCATCCCTAGAAAGAGATATCAGCAAGAAGACCAACTAGAAGTTTCCAGAACTCATTTGCTCTTCCCCTAATTAGAAAACCAAAACAATGAATAAGCTACTGTGCTTCAACAGTTGAGCCATACTGCTAAGGACATATGCTCTATAAACTATTAGTAAAATCCATTTTTCCATGAAACAAGATAAAAGCCAAGTGTACAGGTAACTAAGCACATAATTAAAGAAATAAGTCACTGATAAATAAAACCATATCAATGATCTGGATTACTCTTTATCATCATTGATTAACATAGCAAGCAGGGTCATTTCTAAACTTTTGTGTATTATCTATAAATCCTAGACCACAAGGAATTGTATCAGTTTTTTGGTTAATATTTTACTATCAGTTTCACTAGATGACCTGTATTTATTACCCACTTATACAACCAATGGTGACAACACATATGTGTTTAGTATATTTTTATTTCCAATTAGAATTAAAATTTGTTAGTGTTTATCATTCCAGATGCTGGCAATTGGAATAATCTAAATTAAATGTATTGTTCTTTAAATTGGAAATACTTTCCAATGATATAAGTTAAATCAAGGTTACTATGGGATTCCAGACCAAAGGTTCCCTAAAACATATCTTCTTAAAACATCATATCTGGGCTGGGATTGTGGCTTAGCAATAGAGTGCTCACCTAACATGTACAAGGCGCTAGGTTTGATCCTCAGCACGACATAAAAATAAATAAAATAAAGGTATTGTGTCCAACTACAACTAAAAATAAATTTAAGAAATTAAAAATTAAAAAAACAAACAAAACAGAGCTGGGATTGTGGCTCAGAGGTAGAGTACTCGCCTACCATGCAGGAGGCACTGGGTTTCATCCTCAGTACCACATAAAAATAAAATAAAGATATTGTGTCCACCTATAACTAAAAAATAAGTATAAAACAAACAAATAAACAAAAAACCCCCCAAAATACAACATCATGTTCTCCCCTGGGAAGGAAGGAAGGAAGGAAGGGAGGAAGGGAGGAAGGAAGGAAGGATAGATAGATTCATGCAAATACTATTTAAAAACATACCGTATTAAACCAGAACTTTACAATTGGTGCATGATAAAAGGCATAAAATTTTCGTGTGATTGGAAGCTTTTTTGATTTTATATGCATCTCCATTTCACTCTTTCCTTCATTACTGTCCAAAATTCTTACTTCTTTAAATACTTCCTAAAATTAAAAAAAAAATAATGGAAAATTAATCAAAAAAAAACTAAAATAACTCAAATTTTTTTTTCTTCCTTACCATAGGGATCTCTTCTGTTATGTTTTGAAAGTTGTTTTCACTATCTTCCATTGTCATCTGATGAGCATCTTGAGATTGTGGAATATGGGACATTTCAGCCTTGGTTTTATATTCTAGCATTAATATGGCAGGTGGAACTAAAATGCTTAATATCACCTAAAATTTTTAAAGACATATAAGTTTGCATTTTAAAATCAAACTTTTAAGAATATTTAAAAATAGCAAAGAGACATTAAATATCTTATAATTGTTAGCCATTTTGCTCCTGGAAATACAGGAAAAATAAAAATTCATTTTTTAAATGCTGTATTTAAAGAGGCCCAGGTTGAACTGTTTTAGGGAATAAAAAACATTTGGATATTATGATAATGAGTATGTTGAAGAGATTTAATTATCATTATAGACCTGTCTTTTAAATACAATCAAGTTACAATTTATACGGAAAATATATTTTTGTTTAAACAAAATTCAAGCATTATGAGGTGCTATGTGCTTAATTTTATCTTAAATCTCTTTGCAAGTGTTCCATGTCATAACGTGATTACTCAGCTTGTGCCTCTATAAACAAAAAGGCTTATTTCTAAACTTTTTCATATTACTTGCAAAATCCTAAAGCATGTAGAAATTATAATTGTACAAGAGGTTTTCTGTTAGTTAATCCTTCAACATTATTTTTAGTAGATGATTAATATTTGTTACCAACTATGGATAAAACTACTTGCCTGATTTCTGCCTTCTACTTTCTGTACCTTATTTAAAAAGATATAAAAGAATAAAAATGGAAGTTTAAAGCAATATCTCACTATGACAAAATTGAAAGGACCAGCCATTTCCCCCAAATTATTAACCTTAAAAACTGGATATATGAATATACTTATTCATAAACATCAACTAGGTAAATGAATATATTTGTCCAATACACTTAAAGTAATTTAAAAATAACAAAAAAAATTAATAGCTAGGTCCAGAATTTTAGAATTTGGAAATCAGCCTTTCACAAAGCAGCAAATCTTTTAATGGCTGGCTGTTTAGGAGTGTAAATGCCAACATTCCTCATTTGTTGTCCTTGCTGCTATCTCAGAGGGGCAATAATCATATCCACCTGAAAAAAAATTCAAGACTAAAAAACAGGAGTAAAAAAAAAAGAACAGTTATGCCACTTTGAATAAAATGCCAACCACCCTTTCCCCTTCTTGCAGTCCCTCCCTCTATGATCACCCTCACAAATCAAAGCATTTTATCACATATTTAGTCTAATTCCTCTGTTCTAACTATAAACTTTAAATCCAATTATTTTTAAGGTATACCTTGTACCAAGAATTTTTTCTCATGTTCAGCCTTCCCATCCACATATCAGATAACAACATTTGTGTACAGGTGTGAGCTACAAAAGGTCTAAGTCTTGAAGAAACTGCTAATTTAAGGCAGGTTGAATTACTCCAGTTTTTCAGTTCATAAGTGAGTAATTTCATAGCCATGGTTTCATCTTGTCTGAAGGATTGCTCTAGTAATTCAACTGCCAGTTGGCCAAAATCACTACAAAAAGATAAAAGCCAAAATAAGCAGAAAAGTTTCTTTCTAAGTCTTTAAAAATATCTACATTTAAAAAATAATTTTCTTAATTGTATCAATAAAATTACATACATTCTTCTCCATTAAGTGCTTAACACTGTAACATCCAAACACTGTATTTTGTTATTAAAATGTTTACAAAGGATAGCATTTTAAAAACAAAATATGCCACTTACTTGGAATATTGTTTCAGTTCTTCTGAAGTATCATCTACCAGGTCACTCTGCTTTGCTTCATAGGCCATTGAACGATAGATCTTACAGGCAACTAATGCTTTAGCCATTGATTCTTCACCATGCTGCCATAAAAACCGTGCCATAACCTGCCTCTTCATAAGGCAAGCCCAAATTAACAATTCATTAAGCGGGTAAGGAAAGCGCTTGGTTTCTGGATCATCAATATCTACAATTTCATCTTTGGTTCTTTTTTTCTTTCCTTCTTCCATAGCTGTATCAATCTTCAATAGAAAATAAATGTTACAATGCTCATTATAATACATGACATTCATATTAGTGAAAAATTTTATAAAATATTTTTTGTTCTACTCTTCAACTTCATAACTGCCCCAAACAAAACAATAAAAATTTTATAAACTTTATTATTGCTTATAATTCATTTTATAAGAATTTCATTTCAACAAATATGTCTATAAAAAATTATCTACAACTGAAGAAACGGCATAATATCTCAACTAGTAAAACTTTGAAAAATACATTTGTTGTACATATTAATCAAATAAAAATGGAATAAAGAACTGAAGCTATAGCTCAGTGGTATGGCACTTGCCCAGAGTATTTGAAGACCTAGGTAGGTATGATACCCAGCTCTGCAAAGGGCAGGGGGGAGATAATGGAATAAAATGATTAGAAATTTTTAAAATTTGGTTATTACAGATAAATGTGAAAAAGCAACAAAAACATTAATTGACAATGAATATATTTATGTATGGGAAAATAGACTCAAAGTTATAAAATATCCAAAACCAAAAGATAATTCCCACTAAAACAAATAGTTTTTATGTAATAATACTAAGTAATTAAGAAAGAACAAAATCAAAATCCAGAAAGGATAATATTTACATTAAGTACCTATGGTGAACTAAATAAACATATTTTCTTTAACCAATAAACAAACCTTTGGTCTATAGGGCTGTGCTGTTTTAATGAAATGATTATGTCTCGTTTTTTCCTTTTTATCTGCTCTATTGCCAAAAGATTCGTGACTCTTTCTCAATTGAGGAGTACTGCTGGAGGTATTTCGGCCAGATCTCTGAAAATGAAAGTTCATTAACTTTTGCAGATTTAAATATTATGTTGTAAAAAATTCAACACTATTTTTATATATGCAAATATATATATGTATGAACACAAACAAAATGATTGATTTAGGATTATAATTATAAATATTGCTTTCATGTTTTTTTTTGATATGGAGTCTTGCTATGTTGCCTCGTCTGTTCTCAAATTCAACGACTCCAATAATCTATCCACATCAGCCTCCCAAGAAGCTGGGACTACTGGTATATACCACCATGCACAGCTTATAAAGTTTCTACTTATCCTTACTTGAAATCTTATATTTTTAAAGACAATGTTACTTTCACCATTCGAATGTAATTAATTCTTAACTTTAAAAAATTTGTTAATTTTTAAATACATGTATAAAATTCCTGACAAATATCACATACCCGACTATTTCCACCAAGACTATTATATATTAACCGAAAACGTTTCCGAGTATAGGTGCATCTGTAGGTTCCTCCCATGAGATATTCAATAACAAGTCCTATATCAATTAGAGTGATCTTATATCCTGGAGGAAGATTTCCCTAAAAATAAAAC